AGGATGGCCATACCGAACCGATCACCCGTCCTAACCCGTTTTCGCTTCTCTCGGCCCGGGAGGGACCCTCTGCCGTGACTCAACCGAGACCACCTTCTTCATACCGTGGCATCGTACCATATGTCGACCGTCGTTCTGAAATTTAATCGTATCATTCTCCTCCTCGATCTCTATAGAGAAGCCGCCCTCCCATCACCCCGACATCCGTCCTTGGTAATGGCCCCAACATGGTCTGCAGTTGTGATGGCCCACACCTATTTTCATTTGCCCGGCTCGACCATAGCTTCTTAACCCCCACCTGCGGTGTGACCCCATCGTTGCCCGTAAACAAAGTGCGTGCCCTTCTTTTCTTTTTTTTTAAGGTTTCCGCGGTTTGGTCCGGAGCCCCTCCCTCGCCTTTTCTTCTTCTTGAGTACCGCTTGCGACCACGTCCCAGTCGTCTTCCCTGCTCATCCATGGGTTAGTACGCAGCCCAAGAACCCCAAAATTTCCCCCAAACCCCCTCAATCAAACACATTCGTACACCAAAACATGCAAAAACAAAAAAAAAAAACACCTAAATTTATTTCTTGTTTGGCAAAAAGGGAGTATCTGGCTGGTAGGCAGCCGCGAGACAACCAGCCCACACCCCAGTTCTCGCCGTCTCCGGCGAGCTTTCCCATAGATGTTTCCGCAATTAGTGGCACCCCATTACCTCCCCTTTTCTAACTATGTATTTTTCTCCATGACACACTCTTCCCTTGCCAATGGCCTTGACCTTCCCCCTCACCCAGTTACAGTACACGGCTCGTGACACACACTCTTCTCCCTCCCTCAAGGTGTCGGTCACTAACCTCATCTAACTATGGTACATCTTCCTACCCAAGAAGCATCCTTTCCCGAGCCTATTCCCTTCTTTTGACTATGGTACAGGGTTCCCTGTTTCAGATTGCCTGAACATACTCCTTTCGGCCTCTATCGGGCCCGTCCTCCAACTATGGTACACCTTTCTAATCGAGCAGCACTACACCCATCTTCTCCTCCTCGTCCTTCTCTCTCGTCGTTCTCTCTTGTGCTTTCTTTCTGCTCTCTCACGCTTCGCTCTCAAGGCTTTTCGCGACACACTCCTTCGTTCCTTCACTCGACGATCTCGGATACGATCCTCATCTTTGTCCTCATCCCTTGACCTCTTATGTCTTGTCAGAGTTTTCGGCAACTTAGGCCTCATGACTTTGTACCATTTCTTCGGAGCCTTGGGCGATGACTTCTGTTTCGAAGTCTCGCCCCTTTCATAGTTGATCCCTCCTTCCGTGGGCATTGCAACTTTTCCTTTCCCTTTTTGGTCCGTCTCAAGAGCTTCTCTCCGTCGAAAAAGTCTCAAACGCGCTCCCGCGACAGGATCCCTGAGTTGGACCCCATCTAACTCAGCGAAAAAGTAGGCTCCCCCATCTAATCGCTTAAGCACCCGGAACGACCCCATCCAGCGATTGGCTAGCTTTCTTGCCCAGGTTTTTTCTAGCGATGAGTCGTACATTAGGACGAGGTCCCTAGTCCTGATCAGCTCATGTCGAACACGCAAGTTTTGATCCCACCTTTCCCTTCCCCTTTGTTCTTTCCTTCTCAATGTTTTGGGCGGCCTCCATCACGCCAGCATTTAGACTCTCGGCTACCTGTTGCAACCTTGCTTCTAACAACTCACCCTTTGTCATATTGGCCTTCCATGAGACACTCGTCCATATGTCCACATGAAATTCAATAGGCAAGGGGCAATGCCGACCGAACCACGGGATGTAAGGGGGGTATCCCGTGCTTGATTTGACCGTCACGTTATCCGCCCAAACGGCATACCGCAGAATACGCGGCCATTGGCTCTCCCGACCCTTACACCATTTTGCCAAGGCTTCTACCAATGTTTGATGCCCTCGCTCCACTGGTGCATTGCTTTGGGGATGAGAAGCGGTTGTATAAGCCGCCTTGATCCCCGCCCTTTCTAATATCCCCTTTACTTTAAGTGCAACACCCCTAAAACTTCCTTCTTGAATTGACTATAGTTTCTTTCTGTAGCATTGAGTGTCCGACTCTCGAACCTTAAAGGCCGCTCCTTGCCTTCTCCATCTTTTTGGGACAGGAGTCCCCCTACAGAACAAGGCCCAACATCGATAGACACTATGAAGGGCATATGCTCTTCATCATCAAAGTAGGGTACTCCTAACACTTTGCCCCCCTCACGAAACTCTTCCTTGAGGGTTTCCATTGCCCTTTCCTGGTCTCCTCCCCAGTCCCATTTCTCAGTTTTACAGAGCAACTTTCAGAGGGGCTCTGCCTTGGCACTGTAGGCCTTTATAAAGATGCGCCAATAGCCCACAACCCCTAGAAATTGTTGCACCTCCGTGATTGATTTCAGGGGAAACGGCCACATGATTAACTTCTCCAGCTTGGCGGGATCCGGTCTTCTTCCGTCCTCGTCGCAAATGAACCTCAATATTTTGATAGAAGAGACCGCCCACCGGCTCTTAGTCTCATTGACAGTAAGGTTCGCGTCGTCTAACTTTCTGAGGACTGCCTCCACATCCGCCATGTGATCCATTACGAATTTTCTAACCCCTGGAAAGACCTCCGTTTCGTCCTTACACACCGGCCCTTTAATTGGAAAGTCATCCATAAAAACTTCCACTTTCTTCGAAATGAACTCCTTGAGAACTGCAATCATCGCCCTAGGAGGGACCCTTTGCCGCGACTCAACTGAGACCGGCTTCTTCATACCGTGGCGTCGTACCATATATCAACCATCGTTCTGAAATTTGATCGTATCATACTCCTCCTCGATCTCTGTAGAGAAGCTGCCCTCCCATCACCCCGACATTCGTCGTTGGTAATCCCCAACATGGTCTGCAGTTGTGATGGCCCACACCTATTTTCATTTGCGTGGCTCGACCATAGCTTCTTAACCCCCACCCGTGGTGTGACCCCATCGTTGCCCGTAAACAAAGTTCATCCCCTTCGGCCCCTTCCTTTTGTCCTTTTCAAAGTTTCCTCGGTTTGGTCCGGAGCCCCTCCCTCGCCTTTTCTTCTTCTCGAGTACCGCTGCGAAATCGTCGTTTTTCGTCCGCGTTTTGGCCCCGCTTGCGACCACGTCCGGGTCGTCTTCCCTGCTCATCCTTGGGTTAGTACACAGCCCAAGAACCCCAAAATTTCCCCCAAACCCCTCAGTCAAACACATTCATACACTAAAACATGCAAAAAAAAAAAAAAAAACACAACTAAATTGTCTACAACGTGGGCGTGGGGAACGTAGCCCTAAGGTAGCCAAATCAATGAGACTAAGAGCTCGCACGAGAGAGAGAGAGAGAGAGAGAGAGAGAGAGAGAGAGAGAGAGAGAGAGTTTTGTTCCATTTATTGTTATGAGTGTGAGAGAGAGACAAAGTGAGAGAGAGAAAGAAAGAGAGATAGAGAGAGAGGGAAAGGGGGGGGCTACTAGAGAGAGAGAGAGAGGGGGGGGAGAATGGACTAAGAGAGAGAGAGAGTTTTGTTCCATTTGTTGATACGAGTGAGAGAGAGAGACAGAGAAAGAGAGAGAGATAGAGAGAGAGGGAGGCGGGGGGCCTACCACAGAGAGAGAGAGAGAGAGAGAGAGAGGCTGAATGGCAAAATTGAAATATGGATCAAATTGCGGCCGCGATCTATTTCGCACTTGGAATGATTTTTTTTAATTTATTTAGCATTTTTCTTGGAAAGATCACAACAAAATCTACAAGTACTCCAATTTTCAGTTTTTTTCATGCATTCTTCTGAGAGTGAAAACTCACTGAATTTGGAGTACTTTTTAAGTTGGCCCACACATGGCTGAGTGGCAAAAATGGAAAATGTGCCGAATCGGCGCGACGATTAGTGCTCGGTCTAAATGATTTTTTTAAATATTCTAATATTTTTCCTAAAAAGAACACGATCTTATCTGGATTCTCAAAATTTCAGATTTTTCTGCCAGTTCCTTGAGCACAGAAAATCGCCAAAGGTGCCTCTTGCAAAACGCCTGTTTTGTTGCGCCTGACCTCCCTGTTTTGAGAAGACGGGCCTCAACGCCTGGGCCTGAGGGCCCCTTTGCAGTTCGCATGTCCTCACTTTGTTTTGGGGTCCGCTTCCACCCTTGGACCCGTCCAACACCCCCCACTTCTTTTTGGGGTCCACTTCCACCCCAGAACCAGTCCTTCCTTTTTCTAAAAGTCCTGGTTCTACCAGAGCTAGCTATAGGTAGTCCGCAATTTTGGCAAGGACCGGTTCCCCAATTTTTTTTGCCCCCTAAGAACCCACTTTGCGTCCTGGTCGCCTGCCGCCAAAAATGCGACACCTGGACACAGACGCCGAACCCCACTAGACCGCAGCCTTAGGGCTGCGAATTTCTTTCTTTGTTTGGCAAAAAGGGAGTATCCGGCTGGTAGGCAGCCGCCCGACACCGTCGTGTCGGCCTGCTTGCTGCATGTTGGCCGCTGGGCCTGAATCAGGCCTGGAGGTCCAAACGACACTACCGATCCGGACAAACTACAAAACGACACATCCGGAAAGGACAACAACTGGAACAGACAAACAAACGGATAAAAATACTCAGAACACAAAAGAAAACCCAACACACACTCCCATGCCCCTCAACTCTCCTATCTGGGCCCATGGGACAAGAAGATAGCCACGGCCCTGGAAATCGTCCAAAACAGAGGTACAGGCGGACCAGGGCTGAGGATGGAACAATGCCGGGCCCTACCGGTAGGGGGCCCCATGTGGGAGTCATGCATGCCACATGGAGCCTCAGCACAGCTGTGGCAGACCTACAATCTGAGGGCCTCCCTCAGTCAGCAGGCTGCCCTCTTCTCCTTATCAAGAGAAAATGACACATACATTCCAAGTTCAATATCAAGAGATCGAATATGTACAAGTGCAGTTTCCAGCGCTCTCTTCTCCGTACAGAATTCCTGATATGAACGACCGGAATGCTGCACAGATCTCTGGTTTTATAAAGCTCATGATTCAAAAGTTCGCTGGCTCAGCCGCTCAGGCCAAAAATGAAAACAAGAACAAAAAGAAAACTTCACAACAGTTGAATTTTAAGAAAAAAGGGCGGGGAAAAGAACTCGAGAAAATGCTAATGGACTCACCTTCTGTAACACACTCGAGACTCGGGATGGCTGTTTTGACAAATTGAACGTCAACAGCAACCCCAGCCGCTGAATTATCCGAAACACGGGAGTTATAATGTACTTTTTCACCAAGTCCCTGTCCTCTTCCTCTGGTGTTTTTGCTGGCTTCTTCGGATTTTCAAACTGTCCAGCAGCATTGATCAGCACCACAGCTTTGGCAGCGTCTGGGAAAAGTGAAGCAGTCGCTAGCACAGTGAAAGCCCCAACGCTATACACCAAGTCGACAAACAAAAAGGGGCACGACAGCACAATGCAGCACAGCACATACCTCATAACATCAGACAGACGTTTGCAGTACAGAGCGTTTATGACATACAGAACATATAACATACCCGCTGACTTACAATTTTTGCATTCATGAACAGGTGAAGTATGTTCCCTGCGCATCTGGACATGAATACAGCCACACAGTGTGCAGTCACATACCAGTTCACTGACATGCAGTAAAACGTGTCACATGTTTTGCATGTCCGGCATTTGGAGCGTTTACAGTTAGTTGAAATGAAAAAGCAACGAAATCCACGTACATAGCACGCAATCGCCTCCAAGAAAAAGATGAGACTCAAATGTCAGGGCACAACAACACGTCAGCCGCCACGTCACCATATCCACAAAACACCCCGGCGACGGGCTGGCTCATCCCCGAACTGCTTAACCAGATAGCTCGAAGCGCGATTACATGGCTTGTTTCAGGTATGCGCCAGTTTACCCTTGCCAAAGACCCCTCAATACACATACTGGAAAGCAGTGACTGTGACACTGAGTTCACTGTGGGCCCCAACCCTCAGTTCATTCCGCGCACTACCCACTTGAGTGTTGAAGTTTCGTCCTCCCTCTATTGACTTGAAAGTTGTTCCTTCCTACCTTCCGTCCCTGTCACTCGGACTAACTCCCCCGTTACCCTTTCCGTTTCTTTCTCCTCAACTCCCACCTTCCTGTACGATTTTTCTTCTAATTCAAGTCTGGAAAACGATTGCAAGCAGTTCACAATTGCATCAGTCAGTCTCAGGGTTGAGATGGAGCAATAGTGCAAGCCACACACCACACACACACACATGCACTCAGACACACAAAAACATGGCTATAAATGGAAAACACAAAAACAAAAAAAAAAACAAAAGGGAGCCCTGAAAGCCTTACGTAAAGCACAAAGATGCTAACTGTTTGGAAAAGCAAAGTCAAAACACACACACACACACGCACACATAACAATGATTCAGGAGTGAAGCTGGATGAAAACCAGTTGCTGGAAAGGAAAACCACTCAAGAAATGAGCTTTTAGTTTTAAAAAAAAGGTGCCTGCTAGATGGAAGTCCAAAGGTCGTATCACCTTTTCAAGGCTCACATGCAGACCGATTGCAACAAAGAACTGACTTTCCAGCAGCAACTAGTTGCTGCACAGAAGGATCTCAAAGAAATTGGCTGACTCAGCGATTGACGAGTCAGTAAGGAAACAAATCTCACTACCCACCAGCAGAGCCTACAAGCTGTGCGTCGAAAGCAAACAAGAAGCAATCAGAGAGTGAAGTGCCAAAGGACTCAGCAAAAATCTGCGAGCTAAAAAGTCGAGAAACGAGTCCAAAATTCTCCAAATCTCATTTAGTGGCAAACAAGTCCGCAAATGCGCCATAGGATGACTCAGTAAAAGAGTAGAGCCCGATATCAGTCGGCAAACAGAGAGGCCAGAAAATCAGTCGGAAACGATTCAACGGAGTCGACAAATGCATCTCTTGCAAACTGGCATCTTTGCATGCGTACGACACACTGCCATTCTGGTTTGACGGACTCGTGATGGAATTTCTTAGGGCCACATGCAGCATGCGGGCATACGTTTCTTGTCCATGTGTGTGCGTGTTTGTGCGTATTTGTATTTGTTTTTGCATTCGAGTTCAGGGAAGGAAGCGACACACAAGAGAGTCCCACCCACAAAAACTGGCAAGTAAGCAGCACACACAGTGTCACACACACATGCAAGCGCACATCTGGGTGGGAAAGGGGCTGTTGTGACGGCAGTTTACCACATGCACACACACACACACACACACACACACACACACACACACACACACACTCTTACATATGTTCAATCTATTTTTTTACTTTTTTTTTAATTAATAAAATAATAATACAATAATATAATAAAATAATAAAATAATAAATAAATAAGTAAATAAATAAAAAATAAAAAATAAAAATAAAAAGCAGATTAATAAAGTAATAAAAAAATATACTAAGAGAATAGTAAATAATAAATATATAAAAATAAAAACTGTAATAAAATTAAAAATAACCCAAAAGGATTCTTGACAAAGCTACACAAACAATTCCTTAAAGCAACGTCATTGAAGTATATTTGCATAATAAAGCAAAACATAACATACAGAAAAACAAAACTCCTCGTATAACAAGTTATGGGATACAAAAATAAAACTGATACAACAATACAGCATACCAGAAGCCTGTCACGGTCAGCTACCTAACCCACAAATTAAAACGTTGCATTCAAACTAAATTATCGTTGCTGCTTTGCAAAAACGACACACAACAAATACCGCCAAAAACACATGACCATACATGTCCCCATCCTACGAGCTAAGCGCACACACCTTAGTCTGCAAAGCACTTCAACACGAGACAAACTAAACTCTAAAACGACTCTTCCAAACAAAATTATAGCCAACGTTTATCCAATACGACAACCAACAAATACCACCAAAAACATGTGCCCACAAAATGTCCCTATCCTACGACCTGAGAACGCACGCCATAGCCTGCAAACCACCTTTACATAAAACAAACTTAACGAAATAACACAACATCAAAAAACCCCTCGTACCACCTCCTACTTCCTACACCCTCACCCCCCTAAAAAAACGTGGCCATAACACACGAGATAAACAAGATTACGTAAAAATAAAAAGAAAAACTTCCTACAAAACAACTCTACATACAGAATTAAAAAAAACAACACACGCTACCATACCAATGACCATAATGAATGCATCCCCCTCCACCCATATCTACCCTACGCAAACCCCTTCTATCTTATGAAATACACAAACCACCCTTCTACATGATTATCGCCCGGCTACCCCACATCTCCTACATGCAGCTTCGTCGCCTTAGACTCATCCGTATATAACCGCTTGCACTTGCAATGCTACAAGCGCTCTCTGTTATCCATACTCTTGCTTCGAGTTGCACTGGTAACGCCTTCTCAGCAACGAGATCCCATGCAACTGCTGTACCAGACACACTCCTGACTAGACAGTGTGATCCTAACTGCGCAATTGAAGACGCGTCCTCGGTGCTACATACGGTGACACGTGGAAGCTGATCTCTAGAGGACACGATGGCTACCATCGAAGATACGTCGTCCTAAGCACTACGCACTTAGGTACGGCTCTACATACTCTTACCACATTGTGTCTGCCTAACAAACAAAATACCTATTAACTCCCTCCCTCCCCGAACCCTTCTACCACTACTAACACACATACTTAACCCCCTAATGGGAGCCAGAGGTTGTCCCTCTGATGAGCTGTTATGGGTGCCAAGCAGCGAAAAGCGCGCTTCAGGGCGTGCACCCCCCTATGGTTGTCTTCAACAACCATCTCTAACATCAGCGTAACTTCTAATTTGCTCCCCTCTTGATTAATCCTTCAAAACTAACATGCATCCTCTTGTTATGGAGTTGATGACATAATAAATTTTTTCTTCTCTCAACCCATGTTGTGTTATGCATGCTGCTAACTTGGCGTTATTTTACGATTGGACAGATGCATGGTCTGGTTCCCCATTGTATATGGGGTAGCCGTGTTCTACACACCCACGACAAACACTCCTGGATATTATATCCTGTTGCTAAGTTGGGGTTGATTCCCGTGTTGACAGACCACTTATTTGATCCTACGTAATCTTTTGCGATCCTTACCCATGTGCAGGACAACATACTAACAGTATCTCACCCCCACCCCCTCCCCCATTCCCCGTCCCCTCCCCCCTCCCCTCCCCCTCCCCCCTCCCCCCTCCCCCGCCCTTTCAACCCGCATATACACAACACGAACGACTCTGCTCTGATACATACAGATTACTACATATAAGTTCTTACTACTGCTACATATAACTCGAGAATTGAAAACCCTGGATAATCAACGTTGTTAAGAAATGACGCGCCACTACACCTTACGATACAATTTTTTTCGTGTTCACCCCTGCCTGTCTTATATGTTAATAGTGGCTAATCACCTGAGTTTGGTCCCCTAATTTTGTCTCTCATTAAGCCTTTATAATCCCACCTCGGAGCTACTATAGTTATAACCCAAATCCCTGAACGTTATGGGATAATTTAGGTAGTACATACCAAAAAACACTTGTTGTATACCCCTCATCGGAATATGACCTATACTCCACGTGATATGATAGGATAGTTCTCAACTTACTATACACAACCACCCTACTTCTCATCTATTGCATGATGTTACAAATAGTTTCTTTTTTTATTTTATATTTATATTTTATTTTTTTGTTACTTTTTTGTTATTGTTATAATTACTCAAGACACTAATGCTATGATTAATGTTACTGATACGCATAGAGGCACCTGATCTCCGCAAAAACTAGATTTTGTGCAAATCAGCGTATTGGTCTTTACACATCAAGTTATTCAAAGTTTGCGCATAAGATCGTTTGATCCATTCAATGGTTCTTCATGAAAATGACAGGACGCGATAATCGTTACTATCACTAAGTAAAACACCATAAAAGTTTGTTCCTCGCTATAGCTAGCAATCTTTGCTATGAGCATACCTAATGATAAGATGATCTCATTCTCGCTTCGATCGCTGTCCAGTTGAATTGCCCGACTTCTTCAAACTAAACTATAGTGATTCGCTAAAAGTAACAGAGCCTATTCTGACAATTACACCCCGATGATGTTGATATTTGAATGTTGATCCTACACTAGTAAATTTGTGGATAAATTATATTTTTTACTCTTTCCCGGCAAAAGACATGCAACATGGAGAACGTACTTTTGCCTTCTAACGACGTACACAAGAATTTCACAACAAAAGAGATAGGTAAGGTATAAGCTCCTTAAATAAACACCATTTCTAATTTTCCTACCTACCTGTGCGTATGTTTTTCTTAAAAAACATATCAATAACCCTAAGACTAAAATTTAGTAATTCCTTTTCTGCAATCTTA